AGGCGTCCGTGCCAATCTAGACACTCTTTTCTGCAAATGCTTTTAACGGAAAAACTTTTCCGTTAAAAGCATTTGCGGAAAATCATGCCAGTCTAGACGTAGCCCGTGTATTCTCTCCACAGGAAAAATGTACAGGAGCAACTGAGCTATGGGTTTTCACCTGGCACAGGCAGGGCACTGTGAAAATGACATTAACTCCTGACTTTTGTCACTGTCATGAAAACCCCACTAGCCTGTCCTCAGTAGGTGAATAGTAGTAGAGAGGTAGCCGTGTTAGTCTGATCTTGCTAAAACAAAAGGAAAAATTATGTAGCACTTTAAAGACTAACAAGATGGTTTAATAGGTGATGAGCTTTCGTGGGCCAGACCCACTTCCTCAGATCTGAGGAAGTGGGTCTGGCCCACGAAAGCTCATCACCTATTAAACCATCTTGTTAGTCTTTAAAGTGCTACATAGTTTTTCCCAATAGGTGAGATAGTGAGGAGACACAGAAGGAAGATTCTCTCATCCCTCTGTTCTCCTTTCCTTTCCTATGAGCTGTCACACTCCACATCTGAGTCCCGACACAACTATTTCCTCTGACAGGAATACAGACTTACCTTCCTATTTCACAGCACATTCAGCCAGAGCATAGCAGAGTTTAGCATCACTGTATCATACTAAAAATCCAATGGGACTAAAGCCCTCTCCCAAGCCCCAACACTGCTGCAGAAGCAGTTATTCTGCCTCTAGTAATAACTATTCAGCATCAGGCAGAGCAAGCACTGAAATGTGGGTTTCCTGGCTTTCAGGGGGTTACTTCAACTACTAGGCTATTAGTTATTCTGGGTGCTGGTACTCTGTTAGGGCATGTTTACACTTCAAGGTGGGAATGTAATTTCCAGCTCAAGAAAACATGCCTCCCAGGCACATCCCTGGGATGGCTAATCCTTCCTTCCACTTACCTTGTGCTGGCTACATTTTATTTTTAGTGCACTAGCTTGATTAAAGTTAGCACAGGTAGTTTGATTTTGTTGATCCCTGAAAGGATTTAATGGGTGTCACTGAGCAACCTGCTCCAATATGGCCCCTCAGCCTCCTGAGCCATCCCAGGCACATCCCTGGGATGGCTAATCCTTCCTTCCACTTACCTTGTGCTGGCTACATTTTATTTTTAGTGCACTAGCTTGATTAAAGTTAGCACAGGTAGTTTGATTTTGTTGA